GGCTCTAATATTGTTCGGTCCCTTGCAAGTACATTGCTGTTAAAAAAAGAAAGGTGGAAGTTTAAGATACCTTTAAGATGTCTTTTTGTACGATGAAATGACTTCTAGTCATTCTACGAGTGAATACCAATATTTTGTCTTCCAATAAAGTATCTGGATTTTTAAAAAGTTATCAAATTAAAAGTGTAATCCCAGATTAAGATTACTCTTGTAAAATTAAAAAGGAAATGTCTTCTGCTCAGAGCCGACCAGAGTCGAAATGGAGAAGTTATTAGCCCCCAAGTAACGATGGGTGGATTGCCATGGCCAAATTGGTCCAAATTACACGTTCGAGGGATGCGTTTTGATCGTCTCAGCGAGATACGAGATACGTCAGAATTGACCTCCGACGCACCGTTTGGCCGCCAGAGGCGATTTAACACTTTATTGAACATTTGAACATAACTCATTTCGATTCCGATCATCTTTGCGCATAAAACATGTTCGTTTTCTTTTGTCAAGATGACCCCGACACAATAGTTACCTTTGCACATTTCTCCCAAACAACTACCCCCGCCCCCTCCAGCTTACGTAAGTAAACACGTAAACCATTCCAAATATCACTTTCGTTCCTTCTCATCGGACACTCGCAAAACTTCGCAGGCTAAGTTCCGCAACTCTAAAACTAAAAACAAAACACTCGGTTTGACTATCTGACATTTTAATAACTGCTGAGAAGGTATCAAAGTCTTGAGGTGAGCGCAGGATCCACTTGCGCTCCCCCTCCCCTCGAGCGCCGTGCTACCAACCTACCGCCACCAAACTATGAATTAAAATTAAACGTTCGTTTATTTCAAACATCTAATATCAAACTTCTAAACTAAACTCATTACGTCTCGACTTATACTGAAGCTTCGTGCGCAGTTTGAAGTCAATTGAAGTTACCGTCTGAGAGAAACGTGGGCCAGTACAGACAGACAGATCGACAAACAGACAGACAGACAGACACACGACCAAAGAGTCCTCTGCACCCCACATCACAGCAAAGGCTTCGCAAGCTCAGCCAACAAACACCAAGACGGATTTTTACC